GAAAACATTTTTTTATCGCTGTTATTAATTGAATTGATCGAAATTGTTGAACTGTTGTTTCCACTGCTATTCTGGTGAAATAGTGACTTTATTAATTATTATTATGGGTTATAGTGACATCCCCTCCGGTGTTGCCACCTACGGAATAGGAGGAGGGGGCGATGGGTTTCAGTATGAAGGAATTTCGGTGGTGAGGGAGAGTTGATTTGTTTGGGATTTGGAATTTTTAGTCGATTTTTGGTGGGATTTTTGGACAGTGGATTATCGCGATAATGAGGGGCTTCAGGGGAAGATGGGGAAGGCTTTTTTTCGGGAATTTTGTCAGCTACAGGAAAGGTCTGGAGACATTTTGCTCTTGAACTGATGGTTTGCGAGGTATTTACGTTAATGTCGAAGATGATGGGCTACAGAGAACCTGGCATTGACCATTGTTTCAAGATTCGTACCCTGGATGACATGAGAGTTACAGTGAAGATTCATAAACTTGCTGGCAGTGAAAAGTTGGAATAGATTGAGTTATTTGCGATGATTTCTGCTTTTGCTTTGATTGCATTATCATTCTTGATATATCCTCGAGAGTTATTTCATTTTTCATTATGGCCATCATCATTATTAATTGAATCGATCGAAATTGTTGAATTGCTATTTGCCTTCTGGTGGTGCTCACGCATTGTTTCCATTTTTTATTGATAGTTTCATTCTTATTGATGTGAAGATAATAACGATGATACTGATAATGATGATATTCATACGCTGCTATTAATCCTGGTTTTCTTGAACTTCTATTCTGAATAGTGTCATATAAATGTAGCACTTGCCGGTGGATATTGGGATGTATATATGTGCTATTATTTGTGGCTTGCATACGTAACGATTATGCATCCGTTGTGTATTCTTCTGTTGGCTTCGATGGCCATTTGCCTGAGGTCTATAATAAATACTACTTAAAACTGAAATTCTTCAATTCTTAATTTCATAAAAAAATCAAAATTTAAGGAAATTCATTCTTCGAACATTTCGACTTCAGGGACGGAATTTTCCTATCCCTCAAGTGAGACTATTTCCACATAAAATCTCTTCAGATTTCTCGAGATAATCTCAGTTTAACAATCGGAATCTTCAATTTTCCCCTTTGGAAAAAATGAAAATTCAAGGAAATCTATTCTTTAAATATTTTTCTCTCCTCGGTGGATTAAAATATAATGAACTTCAATGAAAAAAAAATCACACAAATCCATTCTCGCAATGTGAAAATCTATTAATCAATCCTGAATAAATGACCTATCCTCGAAAATTTCGTATTCTAGAAAGTGAAATGTTGATGTCCCGGCGTTACATTTAAAGGACTATTTCCAGGTTCTCCGGCGCGACGAATAGAACGCCCGGTTGTAAATTATGACTTCCGACCCATTTTCACTATTGTCGCCCCCGTCTGGGGTTGAGAGTCAGTTGTGAAAATTCAAAGATACCTCACGAACGTCAAGAACTTCCATTCGGACAAAATTTTTCCGAAAAATCCCCTCCGGTGTTTTATTTTTTATTTTTCCCTCCGCAGTTGCCGGTCTTCCCCCGCTGACTTTACGACTCTATGATATATGGCACCTCGTAGTAAATCATTTTGGTACCAGAAGAATGTTATGAAGTAGCTTCCAGTCTAAATGGATTTCACAGAGCTGATTGACATCTGGTATTGCGCAACACGAACAAAGAGGAAAAAAAGCATTTTTGCTTCCTCCGGATGACCCTGACCTTGGCCAGATGGAATTTAATGCAGTTGGTGAATTATGAGTTTGCGTGGGAGGTCGAGAAATTTACCTGGCCACGTGGCGAAACCCATCCCGGGGTATATTAGTTCCCAATGCTAATGAGAGATTTTTCGGGTGAAGAAATGAGGAGAAATCTGCGCTCATGGTGACAAGTCTATTACACGGATTTATTTTATTGGATAGTTTCGCGGTGAATTTATGGGAGGGGAAGAAGATGGAGGAGTTTTTTATTTTGAGGGGGAGAATTATGACGAAATTAAATGGAATTTCTTTGATAATTGCGCGAATCTCTGCTAAACTATTGATTATGAAGTAAAATGTCTCTAGACTTTTTTGTAGTTCAGAAAATTTCCAATTCATTTCTGAATCCAGTGATCATCGGGATAATTGCACGTGTGAATATGAGAGAATAATAATAAATTCTGAAAATAGACTTTAAGAGAAAAATTTCAAAGAATGGATTTTCTTGAATTTTGATTTTTTCATGAAGTGAAAAATTGAAGAATCTATCTCATTTGATGGGTAGGAAAATTTCCGGTTTCGTGCACTACAATTAATTCCATTCTAATGCACCTGAAGTCGAAATATTCAAAGAATGGATTTCCTTAAATTTTGATTTTTTCATGAAATGGAAAATTGAAGAATCTCAGTCTTAAATAGTATTCATTATAGACCTCAGGCAAATGGCCATCGAAGCTAACAGAAGAATACACAGCGGATGCATAATCGTTACGTATGCAAGCCACAAATAATAGCAAATATATACATCCCAATATCCACCGGCAAGTGCTACATTTATATGACACTATTCAGAATAGAAGTTCAAGAAAACCAGGATTAATAGCAGCGTATGAATATCATCATTATCAGTATCATCGTTATTATCTTCACATCAATAAGAATGAAACTATCAATAAAAAATGGAAACAATGCGTGAGCACCACCAGAAGGCAAATAGCAATTCAACAATTTCGATCGATTCAATTAATAATGATGATGGCCATAATGAAAAATGAAATAACTCTCGAGGATATATCAAGAATGATAATGCAATCAAAGCAAAAGCAGAAATCATCGCAAATAACTCAATCTATTCCAACTTTTCACTGCCAGCAAGTCTATGAAGCTTCACTGTAACTCTCATGTCATCCAGGGCACGAATCTTGAAACAATGGTCAATGCCAGGTGCTCTGTAGCCCATCATCTTCGACATTAACGTAAATACCTCGCAAACCATCAGTTCAAGAGCAAAATGTCTCCAGACCTTTTCTGTAGCTGTCGGAATTCCCGAAAAAAAAGCCCTCCCCATCTTCTCCTGAACCCCCTCATTATCGCGATAATCCACTGTCCAAAAATCCCACCAAAACATCGACAAAAAATTCCAAATCCCAAACAAATCAACTCCCCCTCACCACCGAAATTCCTTCACACCGAAAACCATCACCCCCTCCTCCCATTGCGTAGGTGGCAACGCCGAAGGGGGTGTCACTATAACCCATAATAATAATTAATAAAGTCGTCGGTGAATGGTTCACCCAGGCTCCGCCCCTCTACTCCCTCTGATTTATGAATCGCAACGCCCCTCCTGTCATAACCCAAGTGCCCCAGGTTCCCAATGTTCGTCCTCACTCTCTCCTTTCACCCGCTCCCTAGCTCCATTCCTCTCCCCCAGTCCGCCGACGCGTGTAGGAGTCGCGACTGCTCGCCTGGTGGGGGTACAACGGCCACTTGGTGGGGAAAACGCGAGCTGGAGAACCTACGCCCGCGGTCGCTCTCATCAGTCGCTTCTCGTCCCTCTCGGGTAAAACACTATCGTCGAATTGGAAAAAACATTTCTCCCCCAATTTTTCCTCACATCCCCCCCGACAAATTGTTACACATCCGCGTACCCCCCCTCCCCCTCTGGTGATCATGCTTTCTCGTGGGTCAACTGGGGCCAATTAGTAATGATGTGGTGTCGCTCATTGACCGGACGACCCGCCGTCGGATCAAAATTGCTGTGATTTCTTCGTTTTGTGAAACAGTTTCGTTTAATTAATAAAAATGCAGCTCATGAGATGGAGTATAACGAGACGAATCGAGAGGAGAAGTGGTCAGAATCAGGGCAGACGTGACATTCATTGTCTAGGTGATAATTACATGAATTCCCCCGGTTATCGTTACTCGGGTTTATTCATTTTGAGGATATTTAATCTCTAAATATTAAAGGACAAAAATATAGTGAAACATAAAAAAAAAATTTCAAAATTTAAATTTCTTTTCGAGTGAAATCAATTGAATTTTTACTATTGTTAATTTCAATCGTTGAGCGACGGTGATAAGGCATGTAGATGACAGAAGTCGTGGTGAAACTCCAGTGGAACATTTAAAAAATGTTATTTAAACCGATGACGAATTTTCCAATTAATATTCAGAGGTGCAATCCTTTTTCGGTGATTTTTTTTTTCGTTAGTTATCAACTACACCAGCTGCCTCATGAAGAAATGCCTCTCTACACATCTGGTCCCGCGGCGGAACATTCAGCTTTTTTAATTAAGAATGACACCGATTCCTTTTTTTAATTCAGAGTGAAACCATTCTTATATTGTGCTTTGCTCACTTCTCTTTAAACAACTTTCCTACTATTTAACAGTACACAGAGAAAAAAGTTGGGCGAAAATGACCAAACAACTCAAGTAATCGTGTCGCGAATTCGCTTTTCAGGACTTTTTCGCACTATACCGCGGAAAAAGGGCGGGTGAATGGCGAATTTTTCTCCCTTAGCCCGGGAAAATTTACTTAACGTGAGGGTAATTAGGTGCACTCCATCAAAAATTATCCCAGCGAACGTGAATGATTGCTCAATATTGCGTCTAATTTTCCTGTAACGGCGAATGATTTTTTACCGAACGCGTTAAACGTATTGAACAGATCACTCATGAGCGAATAAATACGGAATTGAATAACCAATAATTAAATAATAAATAAACAAATGAAAGAAACATGACAAACGAAAAGAAAAAGATTGTGAATAAAGTCCTACAAACACTGATTAAATAACTGAATGTAATAGATAAGACTCTATTCAAGAGAACTTTTTCTGCAATTATGACGTTGACGCTTTAAAAATGTGTTCGATGTACTCTGCACCCCAGGGTATAATAAAACGCATTCTACTTAAGTATACATGAAGATGAAGCTCGCATTACAGAAGAGAGATAAAACCTAATCAAACTCCATGATTATTTGTTACAGAAGACGAGAATGAAACGGGTTCAGAGAGCGAAGAAGTGTCCCGCGTACCGATTGAAGATCCCGTGGACCTGACGTCGAATCGTTCCCACCAGGAAGACGATGACGACCGCGAGGAGCTACCAATGGAGGAGGACGAGGAGGAGCTGCCAGTGGACGAGGCATTTTCCCAAGAGGAGGACGAAGAAGGCACCCGCAAACAGATGAGAAATCGTCAGGACGCTGAGAACAACAACAGCTTCATCGAGGGTGGCACATCGGCCGGTGCATTTGCCCCGGCCGCGGGCTGTACAAGTCACGTTACCCTGGAGGCCCTCCAAAACACTAAAGTCGCTGTAGCCCAATTCGCGGCAACAGCCCTATCCAGCGGTGCCGATCCCGAGGCAGCCCTCCAGGACCTAGCACTCCTCCAAAGTACATTATACACACTGCAACATCAGCAGGTATTTCAATTGCAATTAATAAGCCAACTGCAGCAGCAATTGTCGATAACCCACGGTCCAGGTGCTAGTGGACAGCAACTGTTGGCCGATAGTGACAGCAAGGAGCCAACAGCGGAAGCCCCATCGCCGACAATTCACCCGAAGCCACTATCAAGTTTAACGTCCCCACCCACGTCGCGTCCCCCAAGTCATCATCCTCATCACATGACGACGTCAACAGTATCGGTGACGACGTCTACATCGCCAGTGACAGTGACCTCGGGTTTTCTCCAAGAACGGCCGGGCTCAAGTAGCGTATCACCTGTCGGCATAACCCTGCCATCATCCAATATACCAACACCATCGACAGCCACACCAACAACCACAGTAGATACCTCATGCACGACAAATTCAACGAGTACAACAACGACACTTACCCACCACATACCACCATCGTTGTGCTCGATAAGTTCGTCCCTAGCATCAACAATAATAACGAATAACGATCCGCTACCGCTCAACGAACCAAATACCCTCGAGATGCTTCAAAAACGTGCACAAGAGGTGTTGGACAATGCAAGCCAGGGTCTACTGGCCAATAATCTTGCTGATGAATTGGCATTCAGAAGTGGCAAAGGATCGCGTTTGTCGCCGTACGATTCAAAATCATCGGGTGGACGTGGTGAGCCATTCTTCAAGCACCGCTGTCGCTACTGCGGCAAAGTATTTGGCAGTGATTCGGCCCTCCAGATACACATAAGATCGCACACAGGTGAGCGCCCATTTAAATGCAACGTATGTGGCAGCCGTTTCACCACCAAGGGCAATCTAAAGGTTCACTTTCAACGTCACACTGCCAAATTTCCACACGTTAAAATGAATCCCAATCCTGTGCCTGAACACCTCGACAAGTATCACCCACCACTACTCCAACAGTTGGCGGCCTCTGGCCAAAGACCCTTACCATCGCCTCCACCGCCACCATCAGGACCAACAGGTCCGCCAACATCGGCCAGTAATCTATCACACCATGCCCCATATCATCCGTCAACAGCCCACGGTTTTATACCACCACAGCCACCCTTACCCCTGAGTCTGGCATTGCCAGCGGCAGCTGCTGCTATTGCAGCTGGTATTCCCAATCTTTATCATCGTGTACCAATGATACCGCGTCCTGACGGTCAGGACCAGGATATACCGGAGAATTTGAGTAAAGCGATCGCGAATTCAGGCGCGTCTGTGACAACAGCATCGACAACAGCATTGCCATCATCGCCGATTCACTCTCCGAGGCCTCCTACCCCACTGACCAACAACACCACCCCCACCCAGATCCAATCCTTCCCGCCAGATCGAGAGGACGTCATAAAGCGTGAGCACAGAGCGTCGCCAGTCACCGAGCCACGACCGCCGAGTCAGAGCGCCGAAGCCCTAACGATAAACCTCAAAAAAGAGCCAGAAGAACTCGAAGAAGCGATCGAAGAGGAGGCGGAGGAGTTCGAGCCGTCCTCCCCCAGATCGCGATACCTCGATCAGCCTCACCTGATGGCTTCCCCTCAACCAACGCCCAACGACAGAATGCTGCACACTCAGCAAAACTACGAAGACTGCAGTATGGACAGTAGTAAGGCCAGTGGTAGATTAGAAGGTGACGACGAAGAGGCTGACGAGGAGATGGAAGAGCAGCCGGAGAACCTCTCTGGTAGAGGATCGAGTAGACTGGGCCCACCGGTGGGTAGCTACCATCCTTCTGGCGCCTCGCCGGCCAGCAGTACAGCTAGTAGCGGTAGCCTTCAAACCTCATTCGCAGGTCTCCTCTTTCCCCAAGTGACATCAGGCCCACCTGTCCAGACGATGCCACCACACCTGGCCTCAGCTCCTCACCATCCGCCAGGGGTCAACGTCAGCGAAAGCATGATTGTGGATCCAGCGAGGGATCCAGCTATCTACTCAAGCCTTCTACCACGACCCGGTAGCAACGACAACTCCTGGGAGAGCTTGATAGAGATAACCAAGACATCGGAGACATCGAAACTTCAACAGCTCGTTGACAACATTGAGCACAAACTTACAGATCCGAATCAGTGTGTCATATGCCATCGGGTTCTCTCCTGCAAGAGTGCCTTGCAAATGCATTACAGAACGCACACGGGTGAGCGTCCCTTCAAGTGCAAAATCTGTGGTAGAGCATTCACAACCAAAGGCAATCTCAAGACCCACATGGGTGTTCACCGCGCTAAACCACCTCTCCGCGTCCTCCACCAGTGTCCAGTGTGTCACAAGAAGTTCACAAATGCCCTTGTGCTTCAACAACACATACGTCTCCACACGGGTGAGCCGACAGACCTCAGTCCCGAGCAGATCCAAGCAGCTGAGGTGAATGAATTCCCCCCAGGGTATCCACCCCATCCCCTGGCGTCCTTTCTACCCGGTGGCTTTCCCAGCCTCCACCCGCCCCATGGCGCCTTTCCCATGGGTTTTCCACCGTCCCGTCATCCGGCGATGGAGCGACATCATCACGACAACGACATGGATATCAAAGATCTCAGACCACAAATGCCAAATATTCAGATGAATCAGCAGAGGTACCTGGACGAGTCAGAGGACATGGACGATCAGGAGGAGCCGGAGGACGACGAGAGGAGAGAACAGGAGGACATGTGTGGTGATGAATCTGAGAGGCAAATTGAGACTGGCGACATCGAGGAGGACAATGAGACTGAAAGAAATGAGACTAAAGAATCATCAATACCAAATTTTTCCACCTCCCTAGCGGCACTTGAGAATCAAGTGAGAACTATCACGACGATGGCGTCTGTTGATCCAACATCACCACTAGACAGATACAATTCCAGTGAGAAGAGCAACAGTCCACCGAGTTCGGTGGTAGGTACTCCTTTGGATCTTACACCACGTGCCTCGTCAACTCCCGGCTCTGTCGTCTCCACGTCAACCCCACCACCGCCACCACCACCGACCACCCTCCAACATCATCCTCATCCATTCGGTATGTTTGCCGGTCTACTGCAGGCAGTATCATCGTCACCGTCATCAGTGAGCAGTATTCAGACGTCTGGGGGACCTATCAATAGCATTGCCTCTATGAATAATCCGGGAAATGGGGGAAATGGTGGTGCCCTAGCATCGCTAACAACATCCGCTGTACTAGCTGCATCGTCAACCTACAATCCGCTTGGTCTCGCTGTTGGAGGCCCAGCAGGTAGGCGCTGCTAGCACCAAGGCGAGCCGCTATAAAATCCCACACCATCACACCATTCGTTCAAGTCTTTTCCCATCCGAATTATCCAGTTTTTTTTTACAACTTTTTTCTTCACCTGCAGCAATTCTATTGTTATTCGTCATCTTTATTATTTCCTCTGGTTATTGTCTCTCGTACTGCAGTTTATTGGATCATAATTATTGTAGTCCGTAGAGTTTTCAATTCTCAACTTGTATAGTTCTCTTTTCTTCGCCCACGATATTTTGTGATTATTTTCGGAAAATTTTTTTTTCTACTTTATTATGTGGCTTCCCCGGATTATAATTGCTTTCTCGAGGTTATGAGAAAATCGCGTAATAGTGTTTTATGTAAAACTGCAAATAAAATTTTTGGTAACATATCATGGACTTTGCCTTGACGCTTATATCCCATACACCCTTATTTTTATTACTTTTTATGATTTTTGTTGGGGAGGACCGGGCAAAGTGGAATGATAAATAAGTTCGTTGATTGAGGGTTAAGAGGGTCAAACTGGAGATGTAAACTCTCTCTTACATTTGACCATTTATAAGTGTTTGAGTAGTACAGCTCCCGACATGGAATTTATCAATATCTTTCGACGTTTGTTTTGTTTTGGCTTCATATTTTTTGAAGTTTCGAGGTATTATTCTTTCTCGTTTTCTACGTACTGATCTCGTTTCGCTCGGTTAGATCGCGGTTTTCGGGTCCAGTGATATATTATTTTATATGTCAGCGATAAAAGTATTGTCTGACGAACGTATGACATACAATATTCTGTCATTGGGCCTGAGAAACCGCGATTCTAACCTCGCTTCGCTCGAATCGCGGAACCGCGATTCATTTACTCGCATCGCGAAACCGCGATTCGTTGGCTAGTATCGCGAAACCACGATTCATTTGCTAGTATCGCGAAACCGCGATTCGTTTGCTAGTATCGCGAAACCGCGATTCGTTTGCTAGTATCGCGAAACCGCGATTCGTTTGCTAAAATCGCGAAACCGCGATTCGTTTTTTAGAATCGCGGTTTCTCAAGCCCATTGACACAATAGTATATTTCGTTACAAGTGCGGAAAAGAGTTTGGCTCGTGGGATTATATCACTCGCCTTCGGCTCGTGCTATAAACCTCCCACGAGCCAAAAAACACTTTTCCCAGGAGTATCGAACGATATTTTTCATCACAATGTGTGGAAAAGGGACGTTTTAGGCACGCGAAGCAATACCTTTTTTGGTTTCTGTTCTGTAATTACAGAAGGACAATGACTTAAAACTTCAGAGAAAAAACCCACCCTCTTTCGGTTGAACCGAAGAACCATCTGTTTATTTGAAAAAAGTACATTTCCAAAAATTCTCAGCGGGATTTTTTTCACGTTTGGTTTCTGAACAGGCCCAAATTATGAGTGAAACGTCGCGAATTGCCAATAACCTAGTGTAGTTTATGATTAAAAAAAAAATTGACTCAATTTTGCTTTACATTCATTTTTCGCTACCGTTCCACTTTGCCCCGCCGTTCCATTATGCCCCAGACTTCCCTCGTTCTATTCAAGTATCAAATGATAAAATCAACTTATTGAATTGGTTGATGTCATGGTTGATACCATAATGAAGAAATAAAATCAATAGTCTAGTTCAAAATAGAAATAAATTGATGATAGAAGGAAAAATAAAGAAAAGAGGATGCCGTTTTGTAATTTAACTGAACTTTGACACGCTCTGTTGCAGTACGTGGCAACACAACGTGTAATATCTGCTACAAAACATTTGCGTGTAACTCCGCACTGGAGATACACTATCGGAGTCACACGAAGGAGCGGCCGTTCAAATGCACCATTTGTGACCGTGGCTTCTCAACAAAGGTAAGTCCAACAACAGTATTATCCAATAAATAAACCAAGTATACCCGTTCAGTCAAATAAATTTGTTCTATAAATGAGGTATAAAAAGAAGAGACGAAGGAGAAAGAAAAAATGTTATATCTGCACGCGATATCAATGTGCCACACCTCAATCCTTCAAATTGAAAATAAAATCTGTTGTGAACATTTCAGAAATTAAAAAAGCGATGAGATTTTGATAGAAACTTGATGAAATTGACTAACTGCGCCTTGGTTTTGTGGTTGTGGTATGAATTAAATAGCAATCGCAAAATTTCGAGAATTAAAAATGAAATAGTATTGTAGACTCATTCCTTCTAATTTTCTCACGTACGAAAAAATTTCATTGAAATACTTGCATTCGCTGCAAAAGTCGATTGGTTGTCCACTGAATTTTTTATTAGTTTTTGGCCAATTCTATCGGGAAAATTAATGAAATGCGATTTTTCCAGACAACTTATTCTATTGAGGTATTTTTTATAGAAATTCTTAACGCCAAAAAAACAAAAATAGAGTCGACAATCGAAAAACAGTAAAACGAAATTTTAGCAATTTTTTTTTATACAATAGTTTCTATCGAGCATTTTCTATGAAAAAAAAATCGGCCAAAAACTAGTAGAACTCTCAATAGAAAATCCCTAGAATTTCTATCGAAACCTCCAGATTTTTCTATGAAATTTTTTAGTGCGTGCCATGATCCACTTTTCTCTGTAAAGCAAAAAAAAAATTTTTTTCACACACCTGCACGGAAAGTTCGTACTTTGACCCTGACGAGGAAGAGGAAAATGAGCACTTCCCGGCCTAGGGTGGAAAGTTTCTCCGTCGGGCGAAAAAGACTGATTATTTTCCGCCCAACGACGCAAAGTCAACACTTTTTGTTCTTGAGTGAAAAGTTAGTACTTTTCATCCTTGAGCGGAAAGTCAGTACTTTTCGTCCTTGAGCGGAAAGTAAGTACTTTTCGTCCTTGAACTGAAAGTCAGTACTTTTTATCCTTTAGCGGAAAGTATTCATTCTCCTCGCACTCATCATAAAACAAAACATAAACTCTCCTTTGCAGGCGTGTTAAATAATACTTTTCTGACCTAGGGAGATAAAATAAATGAGTCGTGCCCACGTCCGGCATTACCGTACTAAGCACGTGGGTAAAGGTCCTTTATTCTACCTCCCGCAATTAAAACCGTATTAAGTCAAAGGAAATGTTTACTTTGCGCCCGCCGGGGCGAAAAAATCGCATGCACCCCGCGGGCGACGAAAAACATGATTTTCCGCACTTGTTGCGCAGTATACTATTCTGAAAAAGAAATATGGAAACGTGAAATTTTGCAGACTGACGATAATATGAGAACGTGTAAATGCGTGGATCAGCATAGAGCGTCCGTCCCAAATGCTAAAGCAAGAAGACGAAGAAATGAGGAGAGGAACCGGGGGCGGACGGGTAACGGAGGGGGGCGGGTTGCTCTGACGTCAACGTCCAACGTTCACCTGCCCCCGCGGATGCCAGCCGCCCTCGGACTTCTCACCTCCAATCATCTTCTCCTGGTAATCGATATATCGATTTATGAAGTATAGATCCCTGTCCTTTTCCTCCAAGACGAGTCAATTCAACTCATTGTCATTAGATTCAAATGTATGACCTTAATGAAGTTGAAGGTCAGGTGTCTATAATTCTCGAGTAATCACGTGAAACTGAGATCTTGATTTTAAAAAATCAATGAGAAAAATTTTCTTATGCTTCCAGGGAAATATGAAGCAGCACATGTTGACACACAAGATCAGGGACATGCCGCCACACCTGTTTGGTGACTCTAAGACACCACAGGGGGGCCAGCAGCCCCAGACGCCCCAGCACAACCAGGACCAGGAGAACTCTCAGAGTTCGGTGTGCACGGATGAGTCGAGTCTACCGCCACCACCACCGCCACCACCACCTCTACCACCACCACCGTCACCAATGCCACCAGTCAACGAGTCACCAATGCCAGTGAAGCGATCACCCACTGAGGGCGATCTGCCAGCACCAAAGAGGCCGAGTAAGTTGATTCCTTCGAGTTCAACTTGATTAATTTAACAGGGGAGAGTGGAGTAAAACGGAACGATAGATCGAGAACAGCAGAGTGGAATTCCCAGACGTTTTTTGAGCTTCGAAGTGAGACTCGATTTTTGGGAATCGCTGAAGGAGCCAACTCGATTTTCAGTAGTTTATCAGTCTACACTGACAGAAGAAATTCATTTTATCAAGAGAATTTCATTTGGACCAACTATCATTCGGTTGTTAATTTTCAAATAAACATGATATCAGGGAATACCAGTTATCTCTTCTTGAGATCCATTCGATTGGGAGAAATCGAACTTCTCCAGAACTGAAGTTTCTTTTGTTTGTCGCAATAATGAGAGTATTTGATTTCTTTCTAGCCAAAAGTTTGCCAACTCCAGAAATTCGTTGCTTAACTCAAAAATCAAAATTATTCTCATGACTAAATACGTTGTTATCTCAATCAACACGATCATACGTTGTTCCAAGTAAATTATAATTGAAGTGAGCATTTCGTATGTCGAATCAGGATGAATATTGTTACGCGGAAAAAGCTTTGAGATTGTTGTAAGATGTCGTTGAGTTGAAAGAAGTTTATATTTCTTGACTTAAAAAAATCGCATTAGTTTACAATAACAGAATGACAGATTACGGCAATTCAACACAAACTTGGATATCACAAATTTCGTTTAATGTGATATACGGAAAGCTCAATTTAAACATCGGCTTCATTCGAGAAAACAACATTCAATTCATTCCTCAATGTAATCATCTCCTAGGTACGAATTTTTTATCAATTCATTAAAGTAGAAAATTTCTCGACTGGAGATTATATAGGTTAAAAAAAATCGAACTTTTACATTTTTGTGGTGAATACATGTGACTTGACGCCAACGACTGTTTTATTTGATTAAAGTAAAGGTATCTCAAGAAGAAATAATTGATATTCGCCGTAAGATCTTATTTATTTGAAGTTGGTCCAAGTATATAATACTTGGTCCAAGAGAGAAACATCTCAATAAAAATAATTTTTTCCATCAGTGTATATTTACTGAACGTGAGGGTAATTAGTGCCGAAACTGTGCATCATTTTGTCTGGAGATATTGTCGATTGGAGGTGGTCCGTTTTACCTAGCTCTTCTCTATCTTCTCCCAGATAGAACATTATATAAACAGTCATTGATGCTTATCTTTGCAGCTTATGGCTCATTTAACAGCATTGTTTATGCACGAGTGCTATAATCATGGTGGGCTTTAGATTTTTACGCTTTTAGTGGAGAAGAATTGTTTTTCCAACAGCTTTATCTCATTTTTTACTTCGTCTTCGCTCGTTCAAGTGAATTATTTTGATTTAATCAACGATTTTTGGTGGTAATTGAGTGGAATAAACAATGAGTCATCAACAACAATCGTCTTAGAAGATCGATGTTGTAAAATTCGTTAAAACGAAGAAAGAAAAATTATTGAGGAGGAAATAAGTTGAGGAAAACCATTTCCAATAGTTTTTTAAAATCTTTTTGAAGTGAATTATTTCAAATTTTTTAATGACTTTTGTTATTAATCAAACATTATTTTGATTATTCCATTTAATTAAATGAATTGTTAATGACAAAAAGGAGACAATTTAATAAACAAAATTTCTGTTATCAATTGAGATGAATGAACAATAAATAATAAACAACTACAAATTTAAATCGTAAAATTGGTCACGACTCATCTTGAAAAACAATTATCCCGATTGTTCCACTCAATTAAATAAATTGGAATAAAGGAAAGAAAAATTATGAAGAAGAAAGTAAGTGAAAGAATCGTTCTTCCAACAGCTTTTTCTAATTTCCCCATCATCTTCACTAGTTAAAACCAGTTGATTCGAATAGACAAAAATTATTTCATCAATAATAAAATTATTGACTTGATCATTCTATTTAAGGATATCCAAGTACCTTGGCTTTTTTTTCTTCAGTGAAGTGCTTTTCTACTTTTGTAGTCGAACATCAGAGCATTCATTTGAATCCCATTTTACATTTTACACTGATTTTATTATTTAAACTTTGCAGGTGTGAATTTGAATCTCGATACTGAACCGTCAGAAAACATTTGAAAAATCGGAAAAAATTAGAAAATTCACATTTGGCGAAAGATTGATAGAATAATTTAATAATTGCAATTATTTACGATTACGAGCATTTTCTATAGATAATTTATAAACAATCATTTGTTCGGAATCGTAAAAAATTTATTCATATTGAGAATTTTACCAGGAATCAATTTCATGCCTAAAAAAATGAGGTTTCCGAAAGTTTAAACAATTTTAATCATTTATTTATAAACAACGAATGTAAATTTAATGACGCTGAATATTCACGATTTTTTTTTCAAATTTTTCTCACGCAATTTAATTGGCAAATTTGACGATCGAAAATGGTTGAATCTGTAGTGTGGCATTTTACAATAATTTTATTATTTAAACTTTGCAGTTGTGAATTTAAATCTCGATGTTAAACTGTTAGAAAACATTTGAAAAAAATTAGAAAGTCTACATTTGGAGAAAGATTGATAACAAAAATTAAAAATTGAAATTATTTAAAATTATGAGCATTTTCTATAAATAATTTATGAACAATTAATTTTCCATCGCATAAATCATTTGTTCGGAATCTTAAAAAAATTATTCATATTCAGAATTTCACCAGAAACCAATTTCATGCCTAAAAAAATAAGGCTTTGAAAAATTTAAACAATTGCAATTATTTATTTATAAACAACAAACGTTCAAAAAACTAATAATTCCGTGCAAAATGTAATTTTAATGACGCTGAATATTCACGATTCTTTTTCAAATTTTTCTCCCGCAATTTAATCGACAAATTTGATGATTAAAAATGGTTGAATCTATAGTGTGGCATTTTACAATAATTTTATTATTTAAACTTTGCATTTCTGAATTTTAATCTCGATATTAAACCGTTAGAAAACATTTTTTAATTTAGTTTTGACGAAAGATTGATGAAATAATTTAAAAATCCGAATTTTTCAAAATTACGAGCATTTTCTGTAAATAATTTATGAACAATCAATTTTCCACCGCATAAATAATTTGTTCCGCACCTTAAAAACGTATTCATATTCAGAATTCCACCAGAAACCAATTTCATGCCCAAAAAATAAGGCTTTGAAAAATTTAAACAATTTCAATGATTTATTTATAAACAACGAACGTTCAAAAAACTAATAATTCCGTGCAAAATGTAATTTGAATGACGCTGAATATTCACGATTCTTTCTCAAATTTTTCTCCCGCAATTTAATCGACAAATTTGATGATTAAAAATGGCTGAATCTGTAAAAAATCCTTGGATATCCTTAATAAAAAAAAGAGAAATTATAATAAATAAAATAAGTAAATTGGATACGAGTGAACACATGTGTGAGTGTGACGGATGTGTTTGCAGGCATGTCCAGTAAGCACTTGTGCCAGGTTTGCAATAAGAATTTCTCGTCATCCTCGGCGCTCCAGATCCATATGAGAACGCATACGGGCGACAAGCCTTTCCGATGCACCGTCTGCCAGAAGGCCTTCACCACCAAGGGCAACCTCAAGGTACAATAAACATGAAAAATTTCGCCTAACAAAAAAACAACCCCCCACCCATAAAAAATAATCCACCAGAACTAACCGAAACTAGTCTTTTCTGTTTCTGCAAATTTCTTCCTAGTTTGAATAATAATAAATTCCTCGTTAATTGACGATTAGATATGATTTTCCACTGTCTCGCTTGTGCACTAACGCCCCGCGCACCACACAGTTTAATTTTTCCGACAGGTTGTTGAGCAATTTTATTCAACGATTTATCTCATTTCTGTTTTGGTTGTTTAAATTGAGAAAAAATTTTTTTAAAATTTAACAGGTGCACATGGGTACGCACATGTGGACCAACGGTGCATCACGAAGGGGGAGAAGGATGTCACTGGACCTGCCACCACTACCAATCACACCCAAGGACTCGGAGTTTCTTCAACGACGACCGGATCTATTCTATCCATATCTACCCGGGCCATTCCTTAATGGGGTACAGCAGAAAGTACGTAGCCGGCATGACCATGTTATTGGTAAATAATATATTCAGAAAACATTGAAGAAGTGACAATTACCAGAGATTAATTTGTGACTAGACCCCACAAATCCCCATTCCGTGAAATATATCTCAATCCGGAGAGAAAAGTCGAATGAAAATTACTAGAAAATTGCTTCTGAATGGGTTGTCTTCTCTTAATTCTTATTTCACTATGCTCTTCTTCTATTTTTTCATGTCATGGTACTATCATCAATTGCAATGTCATTAAAATTTTGCGTGTTATTTCGTTCTGTCAAATAATTCTACATTGAGACCCTCTCAAGACTCGAATTCGTTTTCAGTCCGGGTTTAATCGAGGTTCAATCAAGGTTTAATCAGTGTACAGCCGGGATTTAATCAGGGTTTACTCAGGATTTAGCCAGAGTTTAAGCCAGGTTCTGTCAGAAGTTAGTCGGGAGCATGAATCAATATGAATAAGTATTCAACATAATAGACTAGTACCTGAGTTTAATAGAGATAGAGATTTTTATATAAAAAGCTCATGACGGTATTGTGTAACTTGATAAGCAATGATGCTGTTCTCACCATTTTTCAACTTGATTAAGAAGCCATTGAAATATACTTTTCAAGCCCTGATTTAATTGCTATTACTGATGATTCTTTCAGTAATCATGAAAAAACCCATTTTCTCTTTCAAATCGCATAAACAATGTGCTGTAACTCAACAACAAATTGTCCGACCCCCATCACATTCTGATAGAATCAAGAGACTATTGTTATCAATTTTTTGAGCCACGACTAATTCCATTTTGATGACAATTTTTTTCGTGATCGTTGAAAAATCAATTTTTGGATAAATATCAATTTTTTCGAATCTGTACGAAAATTTGAATTTTAATTCGGGTGGAGCTTATTAAAGTCTATATTCACAAAGAAATGAAGACAAAAGACCGAAAAATTCAATATTTGGTTACCCTAACACAAAAAATTGGAAACATAAATTTGAATGAAAAAACAATCATAAAAATCCCGATTTCATAAAAAACATCAATAAAAATTTTAATTCTTCATCAACAGAAAAATCCCAAATCGAAATTCCCAAATTCCGATTCAATTCTTAACAATCGGTCATATTCTTCTTGCAATGAGAAAGCCTATAACCAGTTAATCCAAAGAAAAAACCCCCCACAAGTGCCCCAAAAATGCCATTCCAATATTCTTGCCAGTCCATTTCAGCCCCACTAAAATATACAATTGTAATCTATAAAAACCCTCGTTCTAACTAATTGACCCCCTATCACCGAAGTACTCAATCGACACCTGATAGCCCCCGATTAGCCATAATGAATAAACCAATTTTTCTTATCTGTCCACATCCCCCGCGACACCTCATCTCAATCTCTTTGCCTCGCGGAAAAACAATCCGGTCCAGTCACAAATTAATCTCTCCCCTCCCACTCATCACTCCCCCCCC